TATTAATATATTAATATTTTCGTTACTATTTGGACTTGCAAATGGCAAGCAGTGTTGGCCTAGCGGCTTGAGCGACTTCCTTCGAGGTTCGAACCACTGCGGCGCATATCGCTGGTACGGTGAAAGAAAACATTGCGAGGAAGTCGGCTGTCCTTTGAAAAATATTAGGAAACAGATACAAAATTCTGAAACCAAGATTAAGGCTTGTAGCGTCACTAGTTTAATAAAGCCTTCCACGCTTTTCCGGAAGTTATTGATAATTGCGTTATATTATTTAATTTTAAAGTATGTATAATAGAACTGATAATTCAATTACAATTACGGTATTTCTATATTCATCTAAACATTGTTTATGAATTCATCATCGATATGAAAGTGGTTAGGAATTTATTCATTTGCGCAATGAATACAGATTGTCGTTTGGAGTGTGCGGTGGCCTGTTTTCTTCAATTTACATCTAAATATGTACGAGATAGCATATTAGTTTTTTTTTTTTTTATTGGACAATTCACACCAATTGACCTAGTCCCATGCTAAGCTGGTGATACTTGTGTTATGGGTACTAGGCAACGGATATACATACATATTATAGATAGATAGATATATAAATACATATTTAAACACCCAAGACCTAAGCACAACACAAAATGCTCATCACATCTATGTTTTGTCTCAGCCGGGGATCGAACCCGGGACCCATGGATTCGCAGTCAGGGGTACTACCACTAGACCAATGAGCCGTCGTTTGTATTAGTATAACTGAGTTATTTTTGTTTAAGTTAAATTATTTGTACCTATATTCTATTTTGACTACACACACTGATCAAAAGTATTTGTAACTAAACATATTTTTTGTTTATTATGCTATAAGCATAGAGCATATATTATATTATATTTAAGTTATTTGAAAATACGACGTAGTTTAAACCTAATTATTTACATAAAAAAAGATTTCTGAATGTATTTCCTGACCATTTTTTTTTCTTAATAAACAAGTAGGTGATCGGCCTTCTGTGTCTGACACAAGCCATCGATCTGTGTGTAAGACATGCTTTTCCTTGATGTTTCCCATCACCGTACGAGCGAGTATTAATGATCATGGAAAATCCATTAATCATACATTCGACTTTAAGAAGTACCATTTTCAAGCCATTACAAAAGTAAATAAACAATAAAATAAATAAATCAGCGGCGCTACAACCTTTTTAGGTCTGGGCTTTAGATGTCTATGTTTCATGCTTATTTGTTGATCTAATAAGCAAGTAGGGGATCAGCCTGTGCCTGACACGCCGTCGACGTTTTCGGTCTAAGGCAAGCCGGTTACCTCACAATGTTTTCGTACACCGTTAGAGCAAATGTTAAATGCCGGGGATCGAACCTACGGGATGAGAGTCGCACGCTGGAGCCACTAGGCCAACACTGCTTAGAGAAAAGTAAATAATGCAGATAAAAATGCGAAGAGGTACAGTAGATTTTCAGTAACGACACAAAAATCTGTTCTAATGTTCGTAAATTCATTTCACACGAAAACTAAAAGAAAAACAATCGTTTACAGCATTGATAGAACTAATAGATGTACTGATACACGATATTAAAAACAACCAAGACAAGTCTAATAATAGCGATACGGCCCTTCGAATGCATTCGTCACGTGCACTTACATTGACCTACATATGTAAAAAATAAACATCAAACGACACACGATTTCGCCCAGGTGCAACCTATTAAAACCTTAATGAAAATTCAATGTGTTGAAAATTTTAGATACGACGTATGATTTAAGCTCTGCGAATTTATGCCGATATTATTGCTGATAGGAGAAAATCAACTTTAGCTAAATTAGTACAGTATTTTTTTTCATGTGGACTTAACATTATAGAATATGTTTTATTTTTAGTTCTTGATGTAGAAATCTAATTCTTCACTCTTCTGGGCCTATTCGAGATTTAATTGTTTGCACAAGACTTCGGCAGCTAATTTCTCATTGTACACATTAAAATCCTAGTTACTTAAAGAAACATTTTATTCCTTTTTGACGGTAGTTTTGATTTGCGTTCCCTTGACAATCTTATTCATAAAACTGAATTCTATCACTCCTCCTTTACTGTGCAAAGTATCCTGCTTTGGAACTCCTTACCTCTTGATATCAAACGAGCTCAGTCTTTCAATTTAAGTAAAAATCTTTTGATAATTTATCTTCTGCCTCGTAATTAGCTACTTATATATATATAAATAATTGTTACTCATTATCCCTAGGATTAGCTTTTACATTTTTGTTTATATTATTATTTTTAGACTTTACTTTATTTTAGTTAAGTTAGTGTCACATTACGTTATGTTCCTTTTTGTTAGTTATTCTACAGTTTTTGTACTTTACCCTCTGTAGGTGTTTCTTGCTGTTGTTAGCGATAAGGCCGCCCGTTGCCTAATAACTTATGTAGCCTGTTTTATATCTATGTTTTTGTATAAGGTAATTGTAAATAGATAAAATCTTTAAAAAAAAATTATAAAAACATCACGCTCTGGAAGGACGTACATAGCAACCATTTCACCCTAGATAACCTACCATGCATCTGAATGCTTTTAATTTTATCTAAAGTCAACCGAGATAAGATAAATTTTCCGTTGAACCAATCGTAAATAGATCGGCTGTTGCATTAACTGTCAAGTACTGATCATGCCTACATTTAGTGTGGAATTCGATGTGTCAAGAGGCAAATTCAAACAGGAAAACCTAATGAGGATAGTGAATTCGTAATGACGTTTGTGAAACAAAAACAACACACACCGGATAGAACGCGGAACCTTTGGCAGAAATACTGACAGAAATAAGAGTTGAGCCAAATATACGTGGCGTAACTCAAGGCTCACTACTATAAACATTATTTTCAATGAATGCCATCCAATGAAGCATGTAATAAGTGATACTCTAGCAATTTAATATGACGTATTTTATTTGCGAGTACAAACAGTTTTATATCGTTTATCGCCTGTCACATGTACGGTTATAAAACTAGAATTTAATTTATTTAAATATGCCAACTGTTACGATTAACCAAACAATTACGATCCAATTAGTAAAATAAACATAAAAACACTGCACACACTTAAATAAAGAAATCATATTTTCAAGATATCATTAACACAGATTTTAATGAATTTGAAATAGATGAAATATAGATAGCGGAGAAAGATTGAAAAATAGTAGCGTTGGCGACAAGTGGATGTATTTGGAGAAGGCCTTCACAGCATCGGAGGCCGTGTAATAGTACTTAATATATAATAACATAAAATTAATATAACTTAAATTATAGTACTCATAACTAAAGGCTATTTTTATCAAGAATATTGCAAACCGGCCACGTTTGGCGTTTTAAAATGTGCATATTCACGGATTACGCGTGACGACAACCAAAATAATAACAGTATAATATGATTAGGTTTAGAAGACCAAAAAGGTGGTTAAAAGCATGAGGACAAGGAGAAATGTATATTTCCCATACCTCAATAGTAGGTGATGGTACATATGCAACAACAAGAATACAGTTGTCGAATATATCATCATACTAGATATTTGATTTGCCGTCAAATGCCATAATTGTTATGTGATAATAAGAGTTTGAGGAAATAAAAACTTCCACACTAGAGTATAGATTTATTCGTGACCTCGAGACGTGGACTCCGAGTGCTGACTATGGCCCATAAAAGCGATACGACACAGAAAGTACTTTCAGAGCCTGATAAAGAATTTTGTTACCAAACATTAACCCACACAACAGCTCTTAATAAAGTCAACGTCGAAATTGAATTTTATGACCGAAAATCTGAATATTCATTAGATAAATTAGCAGACTGATGTTTGAAAACTTTTAATTAATAACCGAACAAGAATGTACTTCAAAATGTTTCTTAGCCACGAGTAATAGACATAAAATATTAACAAATGAGTAAAGTAATTTGGAACATCCACTTGGAACTTGTAAAACATCAAAAATACAAACGAAATTCTTGTTTGTCACCAGAAGGCATCAGGGAGCATTGTTACAACGTAATAGCCTCATAAAAATATGATGAAACGACAACGACACCTAAAGACGACCTAAAATCTTGTAAAAGTATCTCTAATCCGGGCATCGCTTTAATAAAGCCGCTGTGAATTCTCTTTAGAAACGAGACTTAATTGACTTGAACGAGTCGCCCTAAGTAACTTTTAAGATGGCGGATAAATTAAAGGTTCAGCATAGACTGAATTAGAAGAGTATATTAAAGAGAAAATTAAAACCTTTGTTATATCAAACTCATATACAATATAAGAAAATCATAAATCGCATGTAGGTTTTGTTGAATCAGAATTTCGGGATTCTCTTGGGCAAATTGTTACATAAGTCGCCACAGGCTGTGATCAAAGGATTACGAACTACCCTCCCTTATCACCCAGCTTTATTTCGGGTCCTAACAGTTTGCGTTTTTACGAGATCGCCGACCTAAAGGGATATCAATTACAGTAGAACAAGAAAATATTTTGTGATATTAAATTTCTTAAAATAGTTCAGATTCAACAATCTTAACTTTGAAATGATGCTAACGCCGTGTTTTAGAATAATCCAGCTTAATTAGACTACGTTAATTAAGATTTATTATTGTTCTCATTGTCCCAGAAACACTTGTGTTGATTACATGAAGATGCTCAACGTACTACAAAACTTGATAAGGCCTTCAACTTTTCGAAGTAATATTACATTCCGCCGTTCGTTGATTGGCAGTTATGCAATAAACTTAATGAAAGAGCTCCTAAAAAAGTAACTGAAATTGAGTGATCCAGATAAGGAGCGTTCATTATAACTCCGTTTATACGTAACATAAAAAGCCATTTTATCGATAGACCATTTTATAACAATAAAAAATTTAATTAAAAATTCCACTTACCTTACTTAAATTCTATACAAGTCTTCAAAAATTCACTAAACACTTGAATTGCGTGGTTTTTCTTAAAGCTAAACCTACCTTATGACGTAATTGACGCAGACGACGCTGATGGGCTTCTGTTGTTTGTCTGTGATGACAGTGGCCTGGGTTTGAACCCAGGCGTAGCCGCCAGACTTCGCCAGGAAACGGTATTGCCCGGTTTCGCATTGCCCCTTTGAGAACACTGAAACAATTATCAAAATTTGATGTAAAATGATAGAAATTATATTGAAATCAATAATATTCAGATAGATTGAATTTGTCTCAAACGATCTGTCACATCTCTTATTAATCAAAGAGCTTGACCTGAAAACGTGAACTTTTAATGATAAATGTAATCGTCAAAACCATCTACCGCCGCATTTAATTTTATTTTCAAGCAATAAATAATGTTATTAAACCATTCAATTCGATTCGGCTACATTAGAAGGATTCCAAAGGGATTTCAAAGGATTAAAACGATACAATAGACACATGTATAAATTATATAAATTTACTGGAGGATAATAACTACATAAATCTCTTAAGTTTTGTAGAATAAAATAAGCCGTTACTAGGAGCGTTAGTAGACTGCTATTAGGTTACAATTTTCCACTATCCTAGATCTAACATTGCGTGTCTGCAGAAATAGTTCCAGTAAAGGCAATCGAATTAAGTGTACATCGGTTTCCTTCTAATCAAGGCGCCCTTATTTCTAATGCGTCTATTAGCCTAGTGTTTTATTAACTACTAGTTTTTGTACTTGACTCTGCCAAATCTTCAAAAAAATTTCTACAACATAGTTGCTGATTAAAACACCAAAGACTTCATCAAAATAAATACCGTGTAATTTAACATCTCATAGCGAGGATGCAGTTTCATTACAATACAGGCAGGTACTTTTATGTGCTGACAATCCAAACTCATTGGTATAATCTGATTAGCGATCTGCGTTAGTCACCCGATTAAAGAAATTTACACTGTTGCTCACTGGCATAATCCCAAATGTACCACTACTCACTAGGTGTTATTGAAGACATTCTAGGTACCAAGCTGCGACAAAAACAAATTGATCGTGATTACAAATTTAATGTTGTACATTCTTTTTCATGAATAGACACATGCTACAGCACTTGAATTAATACCATAGACATATTTATCTGTACACTTTTGTGATAATACATAATATTGCGATAAAATTACAATAGATAAAAATATACTTGAGTGGTTCATTGAACTGCCGCCAATTACTAAGCCAATACTATTATTAATAATTAATATATCATTATTAATTATATACAGTCAAACCTGGATAAGTGAGAGCTCAAGGGACCGCGATCTCAATTTATTTTATGGAGGTTTCTCCAGTGGCGTAACTATACCATCTGGGGCCCGTGGCAATTCTTTTGATGGGGCCTTATCAGTAAAACTGGTCACGTTGTACTCAGTTTCAATTTAATAAACTTCCAGATTTTCAACGCACTCATTTACACTTTGTATATGTCCCACTAATGGCCAAAGGCCTCCTCTCATAGGTGAGAGGGAATGGTCTGTAGTCCCCGCGCTAGCCCAATGCGTATTGGAGACTTCACATTCATCCATAGCACATAATATCTCTTGGGCAGGGGCCCTCTTGGGTCAGGGGCCCGTGGAATTTTGCCAACCCTGCCCTGCAACCCTATCGTTACGCCACTAGGTTTCTCACTAATCGTTTCTAGCTTACAGAGTTACAGAAAGCGTTTGTCTGATTTATGATAGTCTATAAAAATACGGCAAATATGACTTAAAGACACGTATCACATATTTATTGAAATAATAAGTGAACATAAATGTCTAATCTAAATAATATTATAGCAACATTTACTTGTAATAATGTTTTAATTTCTTTGCGATTTTGTTTATAAATTTTATGTATGTTTTTCAAGTTTATAAATTTTAACATAAGAGACGCTTTTGGTTGGAATTAAATAAGAGTCTTAAATTTCGATTAAGAATGAGTCATACACGGTAAATTAATAGTTTTCTCGCTTACCCAGTTGTCACTTACTCAGGTTTGACTGTGTATGATGTTATGTTAACATATTTTGAATAATTCGGAAGCATCATAACATTTCATCGATGTAAAATACTCTTATTACTCACATCTTTGAATATAAATATTTGTTAATATATTAACTTCATCAAAACTAAAGTTATATGAAGTGCAAAATGTTTACGATACAACGGGGACATTAAAACCGATTTAGGTTAAATGGTCTTAAAAACCGCTTTGCAGTATTTTACGTTAATTGTAAATAAAATTGCAGGACGACTGGCGAAACGGCAATCTTGTTCAGTCAGTGTATTTGTTATTCTTTTAAAAAGGAATATCGACAAGAATCTAAAAAAAGATTCTATTACAATCAGATCCCAATATTATAGAAGGATTATAAAATGTATTATAATCAACAGCGACAAGTAATAAAATAGTGAGGATAGAGTTACATAGACATGATGTAAAACCGCTAATAATCCTCATATGAAACCAGATAGTAACAGACATCGAGACAAATAGCGACTAAGATGGGAAATTAGCACATTCATATACTAATAATGAAGACGTATATGCCGAAGACTTCAAGGACAAACTCCATAATCTAATTAATAATGATAAATATGCCATAGTAAAACTACCTAGTGTACAATCTATTGTAATGACAGGCTTCCGGGGACTGATCCGGATTGATCCAGATAACAATCCAACTCTGAGACATTTCAAATGACTTCCTTTTAGTACAATTGGGATGAAACAGTTTCTGACAGATTTCTCAGAACACTTGCCTAGTGAATCTATAGGAAAGCCTTGAGGTAAACGATTACTATTAACGGAAGAGGCAATAGTTGAAAACTAGGTTATTCCAATTTCAATGCTATTTAATTCCCAAGAGAGAATTTCTGGATGCATATTAGAAAATCTATACAGATTATAATTTTCGTCTTTTCGTTTCAAATATGGAATGGACAATGTTATGATACTTGTAAATACAACTAAAAGTATTAGAAAACCGTCCCTTTTGAGTCAATCTATGATACCCAATGACCCATAGAATCATCATCAAACATAGAACTGATTTAAATAAACCTATTGTTATAGGAACGAGGATAATACTGCATCCGTTTTACTGGGCACGTAATCTATTCCGACCATGCCCGTTCAAATACAGTAGTGAGAAAATCTTGGTTACTATTGTTTTATGTATCATACAATCTGGGACAATTTACGTATATTTATTTATCTAAAACAAATCAGTAACAAGGTCAACTAAACTATCCCTTTCTATCAAATTAAGTTTACGCTAAATGGAAGAGAGACGAATAGTGTTTTAGTGTAATGTTGATGAATTTCAGGGTAAATCTACCAATCTTGATTGATTGTATGAGATTAAATCTCAAACAAAACTTTTTGTAACAATTTCAAAAGACCAGAACCAAAGTTTACACAACCCAACAAATACATAGCTAGTTGCCACATTTTTGTCATAGACTGATAGAGTAGAAGTAAGATTTTATTACAAGGGAGTGTTTTAAGAGTGTTCAGAGGAGTTCGGAGCTGCAGCTGAGTTTCATCATCGGACGTCGAGGCAGAATACAAAATCACCGTATCACCTCGACAACCATCGTTCCACAACTGAGTGTTTATAAGGCAGCTTTTGCCGCGTACCACCACTATGTGGAACCAACTTCCCACTGAAGTATTTCCTAACCAATTCAACTTAGGGTCCTTCAAGAAAAGAGCGTAATTCTTTAAAGGCCTTCTGGCATTGAGAGTCCATGTCCATGGGCGCCGTATCACTTAACATCAGGTGAGCCTCCTGCCCGTTTGTAGGGGGCAAAACAGTTCTATATAAAAAAAATAGAAAGTAATTAAATCTGCATAATAAATATTTGATCATAGAACATGTATCTGCGTAACAGAACATACAAAACTACGCTTTTAAAGATCCTTTTAAATCGGGTTCAACGACCCCAACGTTCATATGAAATTCTGTACATGTGAAGGTTCTGAAATAACAACTGCGATATGGTTTATATTTTTGCTTCTCTAGACGGTAAATTTACATAGTCGTATAATATTTTATTCAAATGAAAAGCGATGCAATTTTTAAATATCAGTAATTTTATCAACCAATTCGACTTAAGGTCCTTCAAGAAAAGAGCATACCAATTCTTGAAATGCCGGCAACGCACTTACGAGCCTTCTGGCAATGAAAGTGTCCATGGGCGGCGGTATCACTTAACATCAGATGAGCACGAGGCTCATTCCATTCAACAAAAATTTAGCTAAAATATAAAGCCTCCGGAATATTTTTTTAATATTTTGGAAATAAATATTGTCTATGTCACTCATCTATTCGTGACAAACATGCAAATAATAATTAGCTTTGATTAAGTACCATATCGTGCTAAAACTGGAAACTGGAACTTTATACACTCAGTATTTGACGAAAGATCTCATTATTAAATCTCTTGCAATTTTTCGGTAAATCCAATCTTCTATAATATAAAAATGAATCGCAAAATGTGTTGGTAAGCGCATAACTCAACAACGCCTGGACCAATTTGGTCAATACCTTTTTTATAATATTCCTTGAAGTACGAGGATGGTTCTTACGGAGAGAAAAATTTAAAAAAAATTGAGTGAAAAAGTCTGAAAACAACACTTTTCTATATTCCCATACAAAAGTTTTTCCTTTAAATGTGTCAAGGTTATGTCAATAAAAGACAATACTATTCGTAATAATACTTAAAAGTCAATTTGAACTTTAATACCATATCATAAAGTTCAAGTGTTAGTGGAGGGGTTCCGGGAAGGTAAATTTTTATTTTTTGACATAATGTATTTGTTGTCTTATCAGCTTTCTTTTTTATCTTACTAGCTAGACCGGTGTCTCGAATAGCAGAATAAGTATTTAAAAAAAATAAAGAATCGACTGTTAGGCGGTACGATGTTCGCCAGGCCAGCTAGTATATCAATAAATTTCTACAAAAGGCATTATTTATACAAACAAATCTACGATATATAACATTATATAGAACATAAATTAACACAGTAATTGTATATAGTAAGCTACTTTGGATAAAATTTGTATTAGATTTGAATATAAACTTGAGAAAAAGAGAGATGTCGCTAAAAATGTTCAAGACTAAACTACCACGAATAATGAT